CTGTCCAAAAAAAGACATGTTAGGTTGATTGGACATTCCAAATTGCCCTTAGGAGTGAGTGTGATGTTTGTCCTTGTGTGTCTCTGTGTGGCCCTGTGATGGACTGGTGGACCGTCCAGGGTGTACCCCGCCTCTCGCCCATTGAGTGAGGCATGCTCCAGTCCCCCTGCGACCCCATTAGAAAAAACAGCTTATTGTGACAGCTCTACAAAATAAAGAATTAAATAAAAATCTAAGAATAAAATGACAAGGGATTTTTTGTTTTAAATCCAGCATCGCCTTAGTGGTACCTTTGCCATTCTGCTGAGGTAAGCAAATTATTTCAAAGCTTACATATACCTCCATCTGAGAATAATTGGGTCATGGTCTGTGCGCCCATGTGTACTGACCCACAACTGGTTCATGTTAGTTCAACAGGGATACAGCTGGTTCTCTGCCAGATAATTTTCACTGTCAAACATTTTTTTGTACATCAGCATCTAATTTTCAAAGATCATGGACACTTCAGTAAAACATAATGGTTGGTGAAATATTGATCATCAGTTTAAGGCATCTCGCCATCTTGTAATTAAGGAAGGGGAAAATAATACAGGAAATTTTCATTAAAAAACAAGTTGACAAGCTGTATATGTATATACAAAGCATACACATGCAAGTATATACAAATTTCTTTAAAAATTCAACATGAAACAATTCAATACAGTGTATGGCACACTTCAAATTTTGTGGGTCAGAGCTATTTATCTAAGTAAACCTTCCATACATGTCCCAGCCTAATAGACACGCTACATTAAACAACCAGGGCACGTTAAGCATAAAACTAATTTCAAATCCAATACAAGAGGACCATCTAGTCTACCCAAGAATCACAAGTGTCCTCTGCAGAATATTCCTACTTTGTCTTTTTGTCTGAGAGTAATGAGTTGGCGGGGAAAAGAAAAATTGAACATAGAAAAAACAGATTGCTTATTGTAACGAACAAGGGCAGCTTCCAAGGTTGTTATTGTGGCTTTAACAGAAAATGCCAATTTACCCGGCCCTGGTATGAGGTCTTTACTAATTCTTATTTGCATGAGCACATTCAAAGTGCCAAAGTTGGATCAGCTAGTAAATACAAAACTGAATGCATTTCAGCTTCAAAGAATTTAAGAGAATTTCAAATTCAACTAAAGTTCAGAGTGAAGAAAAGTCTGTAAATGAGCTGGCAAATGTGCCGCAAACTGAGAAGAGACTTCCAAAGGTTAATTGTAAGAATTCTTTTTTAAATGTGTAAAAAATCTGCATCTTGCTGTGGAGAACAGAGGTAATTACTTTAGATTTAGGTCATTTGGAGGGAAAAGTATTGTTTTACTTAAAAAAAGCTGTATCATTTTTGATTAATTCACTTTCAGATGAGAAACGTATACAAGAGGAGGCATTTTCCTGTAAAGGTTAGAGTGAGAGAAAAGCATGCCTAGGAAGAAACTGACCAGTGCATTTCGGCAGCTGAGAGGCAGCGACCCACAGGTGGCTTTACTGAGCACGCACAGCCCAACAGACTGCCACGACCAGAAGAAAAAGACCAGCAGGAAACATGCCAGATACCCAAAACATTTACCAATAATTTTCAGTGTGAACGCCAACTGCTTGCATAGATTAATTTCTACTTGCATCATACTGCTCAAGCGACCTGCCACAGAGCACTACAAAGAGAAAAGGCCCCAGTTAACCTGGTCTAATGTGTCTTTGTGTGTCAAGTGACCATATGTCTTTTGTTTGGAACCGAATTTGACTCAAATAAAGTTCAGAAATAAGTCTACAAAAAATTGTCTTCATCTGCCCTCTTACTCTAATATGACTCTCTTATGCTGTCCACATACCCACCTTTGTCATAACCAGGAAACTGCATCAGAAGTTGAGTTATAAAGAACAGTCATGAAACATAGATTTTCTACTGTCGTTGCTTATTTTGATCAAACCAGATACATCACCCTTTTTAAAGGATTCTTTCATTAAAAAAAAAGCTTTATAGGTTGTAGAAAGAAGACACTAAATGTGAAAAGAAGAACATCTGTAGAAAAAGAGCTCTATCATCATTTAATTTAAATTACTTTTAAACAGATTTCTGCTGGCAATGATGAGGAGACTATTTAATATATGCGACCTTTCTGTCATTTACACTGAAATAACCTGATCAGCTTCTATTTATAGCTGGTCTATTTTTAGCCACAGACCCTCACAAATTGAATGGTGCTGCACGTGGCACGCTGATCCTCCACGATTCACCGCTCTCACTTCCTCACATGCTTCCTCCCTTTATCTTTTCTCAGCCCTCTCATTGTGAGATCTGTTTTTTTCTTTTCCCCTCCCCTGCAACGTGTCTTGTCCACCCACCCCTTCCCTCCGACCACTCATTCTTCTTTTACCTGTCCTCTCATTCAAATCTCTCACTGTCTTGCTCCCTTCCTCTCCCCCCCCCCTCTTCTGCCTCTTTCCAGTCAGTCGTGAAACACTGACTACACAGTCACGTTTTGCTTCATACTTTGACAAACCCCTCAAGGCGAGCCATTTCAGGATATTTCACAGCGGAGCAACACACCAACTCTGTCACTCTCAAAGACGCGGACGCACAAGCTGGCGCACTGACTCTCATCCACACACCAAACACACACCAAACACACACACACACACCAATGAACTCGCACACGCTTTCTTCTCCTTTGCTTCACACGTGAATCCTCAACCTGCCACAACTGATAGCGCTCCACCACACTAATTCATTCTGCGTTACGCATTCCAAATATGGCAAGCTGCAACAAAAGTAACGGCGGGATTTTGCTGAAGGCGAGAGCTCAGCACAATTTCTATAGATTCATGAATGTATGAATGCGGCGGAACTAAAAATAATGACTGCGTTATTTATTTATTTACTACCCACCCCCACTCTCCTCACTGAGAATCATTCAGCTCGTGCCGCCGCTGCTTTGCTCTCCGAGGAGATGTGCTAAAAATAGAGGTGTTTCCCGTGCACGTTTCAGAATGATTTTCCTCAGTCTCTAAAACCTCTCCCTCCCTCACTGGCTGCCTCCCTTTGGCACGCACCCCATTCATTCTCTAGCAGTCATGTGTCAAAGTGGATACAAACACAGCCACACTCCCTCATTTATTCTGCTACACTGGCAGAAGTAAATGCTCCTGATTTATGAACATGTGACAAATGATGTCCAGTCAATTTGCAATGTTGGGAAACTCTCTGTGGCCCAAAACAACAGCAACTAGTTTGGCTGGGGAACAGAGTCTGCACAGGGCTCTGCCCAATTTTAGGGTGGCTAACATCTCTTGGATTTGAAAGGTGAGAAACAGTTTTGGAGAACATATTATTTGTGCCTGTTTTGACTGCCACTGTAGCAGATTACCGGCTTCACCTTCTTTGTCTGTTGATCTTTTGCAGGCGTGTGTGTGTGTGTGTTTTTGTGAGCAGCATCACTGCAAAATGTGGTTTGTTAAGACACTCTACGTAGCACAAAAGCCTTTCTTTGAAAAATATATCCCAATTATCTTGTAGTTTTCTGACCACATCTGTAGATCTATAAAATGGGGAGTCAATGTCATTATGTTATTATCATTCTATAAAGGGCTCAAAGAATTGGAGTATCACTCTGGCAATTGCCTGTTGTTTGCTTATAAGAAAATTACACTACTTTTGTTTATAAAACAGGCTGTTTATTAAGATGATAAGTTAAATCCGGAAATACCGAAAAACTGTTTCTGATTTTCTGTTTAATCTTTTATTCATCAGTTAAATACATTATCATTTGGACCGGCCTCTTTTTTTTTCTTTTTAAGTGTTTGTTTACTTAATGTGAGATGCTGAGATGTGAGACATTCAAGTAATGTCGTGAAAGCAATATTTAAACCCTGGGGACCGGTTTCACACTGGAATTAAACTTAGCAACTGATGGTGTTGGTAAACATCTTCATACCAAAGTGTAACCTTTACCAAAACCATATGGATGCAGTAACTGTCCTCCCCCAGTTTATTGACACATTGCCTTCAATATATTTGGGGGGATGTGAAGAGGCTCAATAAAAAGAGGCTATAAATCAGATCAGCCTACAGAAAGCTGTGTTGATAGTAAATATATCAGCTTTGTTTTGATTCCAAATAATAAAAAGCTATCACGATCTCCTGTTCATAAGATGTACACTTTCATTAAAATCATCAGGGAATTAACAAAAGCTGCTTAACGTTAAATTTCCTTACAGATTACCAACGATTAACTTTGGGGGGGAAAGTATGTATGTTGTCCTTATCCATGCAGGGGTAGGAGGCTGTTTTTCTATCACAGAAATATTTAAGTTTGACATACCACATTTCCTTTTGCCAGATGTCTACCTTTAGATTTGGCTTGAGTGGGTTTTTTCTCTTGAAGTTTTGACATTTATTCAAATACAACTTGACAAACATGAGCTTTTGCGAAGTGATATTTGTTCAGTTAATTAGTCCTATCACACGTCAAATGTTAACTGAACTACCTTTGCATGTCAGCCCCTTTATGAATACTTGACAATTTACTCAGTACACTCATTTAAATTTGAATGTATTTTAATATTGTATAAAGTCTTTAATATTTTAAATTGGAGACTCATTGTTATGTCACCACTACTTTGTTGGACTGTGCAACTGTTTTGTTTTATACTGAGATTTCTTAATCTAATATTAATGGGTTGGACAAACATTTCTCAGAATGGAAAACATGATAATTATTCTGAACATGCTTGTACAAATGTTTTTGTATTTTATATATTCATATTAATATATCACAAAAACTGTCAAGTGAAATGAAGCTGGAATACATAGACTCATTTAAAATTTCAACACCACCTTTTTTATTAAATATGAATATGTTGTCTTCTTTCGGAAAATATGGGACCACTGGGAATATGGGAATCATGGAAAAGTACAAAAAAAGTAAAGATTTAAGTTCCTCACAAACACTTCCGCATAAAACAACATCTACCTTTCCTCAACACATCCTTTTTTCTGGAGCTGACTTCAGACAAACCCATAGGGAAGCCAGGCACTTCATCAACATGCTGGTCCACAATTTGCCTGGAGGCAAAGCCCAAAGATGAAACCATTGAATTGGAGAGCTGATCACAGTCTGTGGGTATGCCAGAAACGAATCTCAAAAGGTACCTGCACACATCTTTGCTATATTGCAACCCCCAGTTTGCCAAACTATTCATGTACACAAGGCAGACTGTATTAACAAGATTGGAGACGGCTTCCTTCTCTCTGATACACATTCCATTGTGCCGCTGTGCCATTGATAGATGCCACTTTTGTTTCTCCAGCAGCACTCCCCTTTTCCTTGCCTTCAGATTTGCTTTATTCCATTTTTCCACTTCTGTTCACTGCACAAATAATTCTGTGTTCACTAGGGATACTTTATAGTGAGTAGTGACATATTACACATTAACTCATAAATGCTGTTTTCTCAAGCTGACAAAAATGATTCAAACTGGACATGGAAACTGCCCAACTGAAGACAACCCAATATAAGGTTGGTAGCAAAAACTGGGAAGAGAACTTCTATTTTGAGATCAAGAAAAGGATCTGAAACCCAAAGAAAGTGCAGAAGACATGAGGTAAAGGGAGTGATGATAGTAAGATGACTAAAAAATGGAATCTGATGGGAGGATCAGACAAAAGATGAGATGAGCTTGAGTACAAAGGAGGTGGATTGCAAATTGGAGGCAGCTGAGAACAAGGCGCACAGGTGATGAGAGTTGATGACCAGAACCGGAGGGAGACTGAGGAAGCTGTGGAACCAAAGGATCAGGAAAAGGTTCAAGAAACTAACTAAGACACTTGAAAACACACACAAAAAAGACTTGAACATTCCTTTCTTGGAATGTCATTGTGATGTTTAAGTAAATTTGTCTTTCACACTATAAAAATATAAAACTGAAGTTATATCTTTCACCCACATTTTTCTTGAAAACTGGACACAACATCTGGCAAAGAAGCAGCTAAATAAAAACTCTGTTAAACCTATACTGTAAGTCGCTGATAGATTCAACACACATGGTCCATGTGAGCAGAGAGAGGGCCCAGTTGCAAAATGTCTAGATCTGAGCTAACATGGAGTGGAGGCTCTTCTTCAAGCTAGCCTGTCACACCTGCTTTCCAAAGGATGTTAAATCTGCTTCAAATACACCGACAATATCCTCTTCTCAGCATCCTGCTGTTTTATTGCAACCACCCATCATTCGCAATTTCCATTGGTCCCACAGTGCTCTTGACTTTGCTTTTGGTCTGCCTTTTCCACCCGGCAACACCATCAGTTTGACAAAGATGTACAATTTGTGGCCCTAGAATAAATAAATAAATGAGTAGAAGATTGCGGCAGTCAAATGTATTCTCTTAATTCATGGCCTGATGTATCTCAGGCATAGGTCTTCAATCCTCATATCTGGTCTGGCAAGCAGTTAGTTAATACAAGTACCCAAAGAAAATTCTGTTTCTTGTTTTCCGTGCCAGTTAAATTCATATTCATGTTTTAGTTGCCATGGAGGGTGATGCAGAGGGTTAGGGTTATGCCCAACATGGATGGGTCAATAGTGCATCACAGGTCCAACTTGGAGACAATCAATTGAGTATGCTCAATTGACTGTCAGATAAGATTAGCTACTGAATGTCTGAGCAAGGCACATATTGTGGTGTTCTGCACTAGCCTTTTCTTGAATTTTGTTTCGGTTCATTCATATGGAGACTATGCTATCTATCCTGCTGCTAAACAGCTACATATGAATATGTTATACTGGGAAATCCAGCATCTTGGGACTCGCATGGGTTTCACTTTGGCATTTACCTAAACATTTCTGGGGGGAATCCCCCCCCCCACAGTCACACAGCAGGGCAGCACAACTCCCCACTCCTCTACTTTCCACAGAGATACTGCACAGAACCTTGCAAAAACAGCTTAGGAGGGACTAAGAAGCATGTCAAAGAGCCTGAGGTGTTTCACTCACCTCTGAACTCTCCAGATACCAATCTGATGCCATCTGACAGCATGGATGGGAAGCAAAACTGATATACAAAGCTCCTCCCCACAAACCCCTGGCACCAAAGGATCCTTTGCTGTGGTCCTGGTGCGAGATGACAAGAACAAATATCATCAGAATTTTTTGCTGATTGGTCAAAATATCTATATATGCGAGCATCAATTTGTATGTACATATACTAAACAGATAGAAGAAACAACAAGAAGATGTCAAACTATAGGAATAAGCTAAAGTGAAAGCGTTTCCTACATACCCATCCAGTGACCACCATACTGCTGATGTGGCTCCTATCCCCCTCCTGATGTTGAAAAAAATTCTAATATTTTTCATGAACAAAATCTTGAGATTCTTGAAGTTCTTGATTCGAGAGTAGCAACTCCTCCAAAAATCAGAAAAAGTGAAGCAGTCGCTTTCAGCTGAGAACCATGCCATCAAAGCTTTCCCGGGAGGCAAGCGCAGCTCCATATACTTATAATTGGCACATGCCTTCTTATCTATCTTTGCAATTTGTGAACCACCACTTCAGTGTACCATTCTGATGGCACTGTTCCTGTCCTCCATACAACATGAAAAGAGGCAAGTCAGCAAATACAGCCTCACAATGTTCAAAGCCTTTAACATTACACGGTTACTCTGCCTCCCCACCTGGTAACTTGCTGCCAAGGGGTATTTTACAATTCCCTCGACCTTCGTTGGTGAGTTGTTATGCTTGAAGTGTTTTTTAATCCATGAATCTCCTCCTCCACAGAGAGTATATTGGTAGGGTTCAAGAGTGCTCTTGTGAAAAGTGCTCTTTTCATCAAGAACAGTTTCAGACAGACTTGTCTTTCTGACCGCAAAGTAAGCCAAGTCATCTGTCTTACTCTTAATAATTTGTATTATGAATGAGCAATGAACTCACCTTTTCAGTGTTATTAGGTTATTCATTCACAGTTAAATGTAACAAGCAACAAAACACACTGGTTGATCATTTAAGATAGATAAAGGTCTTGAATTAAGCCAAATTTTCTGAATAATTATTAGAGGTGGAAATATTTGGTGGAAAAGAGACAATCACAATAGAAACTACATTCTAACACAATGCGCCGACTTCTGGATGCTCGGCTCCTCTTGAACATTTTTTCTACTTAGTAGCACAAGGTAAAACCTACTATATGTCAAACATACTGGCTCACTGAAAAGCCTTCTTGATCTCAGATTACTGTCAGGAGTCGGTTAATGTTCAGCATTCTAAGTGACGATCTGGCCTTCACACCCACTTTTTTCATTGGTTTACTGCAATGATGAAAGATAAACATGTTTGTTAGGCTAAAGAAATCAGTTCTGCTCTCTATCTTTATCATCTTCTATGCATGGGAGAAGATGCATAGAAGATGTAATAAAACTAAATCTAAAAACATATCTATAAACTCACACCTACATATATAATGTTAAACATTTTTGTTGGTAATATTAGGAACAACAATGTTTGAATTGAAATTTCTCACAGGGACTTTTGATCACTTTAGAGTTTCCTACTGCTTCTGTTATTACTGCTCTGTAAATAATTTCAGGTAAGAAAGAAAACACTCAGTCAGACAGAAAAACCTTCCACTGCAAACTTTTTGTGATACCAAAATCAAAGCACCTTTGTTGCGTATTTCCTTCATAATTGTTATGGCATCTAGATAATTTTTTTTTGTTTGGTGCTCCTTTGTGAAATAACAAAAGCCAACAAACAACAACAAAAGCCAAGACAAAAAAATCATACATAAACCATAAAATGTACAGATAGGCCATAATAGGCTGTTTGAACAACGAGCGACACACACTATGTATTTTCAGCTATTTTCATGGAAAGGTCTAAGAAGGTCTTTAATGGGTTAACAAAGGAATGCTTGTGATTATCAGATTACATGCAGAATTGTAGATTTATGAGTATATTTATCAAAAACAGATGACATCTGTAACATTTGATGTGAATTACATTTCGTCTTTCTGAAGAGGTGTTGAAATTCTCCACCATAAATGGAAATGTCTGAGCATGTTGACGTGTCTTTGGGCAAGACATTTAACCCACAGTTGCCCGCAACGCAACCTCAAATGGGGTACAGTGTTCTGTTTGTACCAGTCCCAAGCTTAGATAAATGCAAGGGTTGCTTCAGGAACCATTGCAATCTAGAAAACTAGATTAATTCTAACTTTGAATATTCAATATTAAGCTATAAGTAAGTACAACTGTATTAACCATTCAGTCAAAATCTTAATTCATAATATTGAGAATATAGTTAGTAAGACACCCCCTAACGATTCTTGTAACCTTTTGTAGGTGGCAACATAACCTGTAGTGTCATCATCTCCTGCTGGAGATACTTTTATAACTACCAATACTTGAAAATAATGTAGAATTGAAAATGGAAGGACTGCATCCTAATATTACAACACCGTTAATATTCTTGGTGATGTGTGCAGATGTCATGCGAGGGGGCAGTGTGGCCCAACTGACTAACATCTTCTGGAAGGACGCACGTGCGTAAACGATGAAATGCCATTGTTAAAAAGTGTATTTTTAAACAACTGAATATTAAAGATGTGAATGTAACACTCAGTAATAATTGGGGTAGATTAACAACTTCCTTTTTTTTTGGTACTTTGACCTTCTTTTTAAACCGTAGAATATGTTCGGATCACTGCCGAATGCTAAACTTAACTCAAACCACGTGATTGCTGATGTAAGACATCTAATTTTGGTGTGTTTATCATTCAAGGTCATGCAATGGCAAACAAGATATTGTCTTTTTTGTGTTTGTTTTAGCTCACAGAATTGAATTGCAGAATATAATTGCCACAAGAATTGTTGCACTTTGAGCCCTAAACCATTAAATCCGGGAAAAGCAATGCATATTGATGACATGGAAATCACATAAAATGTAAAATGCTGCAAAAAGTTCATAGAAATGTATCAGTGACTGTTCTTCTAAGTGAGTAACATATCATTTCACTTGGTTTGACGTTTTCCATATCAGCATAATCTTGTTAGTTGTTTAGAGGTGGGGTGTATCCTGGAAAACGTCCCTGTCACACACAAAGTAATTTTATTCTTTCATTCTTAAAGCTTGAAAGACTGTTAGGAATCACATAAAATAGAACATTTTATATGAGATTTTGTTTCAGAAAATGTGCATGTATGCATGTATGAATCAGTTTTGTGAAAAAAGATTGCATTTCTTAGTGCCTTGAACAGGCTGGGTTCTGACACACAGCTCAACTCTGAGGAGCAGAATCCATAACCTCAACAATAGTAGCATGGCCCTGGACATGAGCCCCGCACTGAGGTTGGGATGAACGCATGCATTTTCAAGCTAGGGTATCATATGAATAAGAACATGAATGATTTGCTTTTTGAGTGCCTTTTAAAGTTGATATACAAATGTTTGAATATTTCATCACTTCTTAGAATTCATTAATGTGTAACTTTGCCTCCTGGATCCAAAGTGCAGATGACCTTGAGTGCCTCCTCCTGGAGCAGAGTAAAGCTTTTTGCTTTAATACTTCATGTAAAAGTAGAGTTCAGAGTGAATGTTATGTGCTACCTGTTGCAATGTGGAAAGTACGTGAGCCAAATGAGTATGGCTGTCAAAATTTCCGTTTTCTCCATGCCCTTTCAGGGCCAGCCCTTTGGTTTTTATCTCTGGGATATTAAAGGTTGTCAACTGAGTTTTGTAATGTCACTGCATCACCATTTTCTCATCCCCAGTTCATTCACTAACTGTTTCAAAGGGTCTGTTGTTCAGGGTAGGCCCATTGTTTCTCTCTGGACCTGCCACCAGCTTGTTTCAAGTGAAATGGTTTATGGGTGACGGTGTGTGTGTGTCTGTGTGACAGACAGACAAGCCATTTTTACTGTCAGATAGGGTGCAGCGGGGTGTTTCTTCTGGGATTCTCTGGTAAATTATAGGCAGTAACGGCTGGGAGAGTGGCTGTTAGCTGGATGCGGGGCATGTGCCTTTCTGGGTTATGATAGTAGTTGCATGGTGGACCACGAATGTATTTGCAAGAGTCCAACGGGGACCATAGTTACTGTGTAATAAAGACACACATTATATCTAGCTACACAAACTGAACATGGACTACCACAGACAGACAGCTAAATAAAAACTAGTAACTAAAAGTGTAGAAGTTTCCTATTTCTATTTTTAGCTGTAGTATAACTTATAAAGTTTGATTACTTATTCCTATTTAGCTCTACTTTTGGGTGAAGCCATAAGAAACAGCATCCAATTAAATACAAATAATTCATTATTACTTTAGATTAAAACACCAAAAGTAAAATGTATCCATTCCGGAGTCTTTTATTATGTCTTCATAATAATTCTGGAAAGCAATAGCAACTATATGTAAACCAGATCAGCATAATTCTGTCTTCCTTCTTTATCACATGTAACAGCAGTATAAGATCACAAGTGCAGCATGATAGATTCAAGGTTCAATAAGGTGTTTGATACCAAATGTTTTGTCACAGAGACGGTTATCTGCTGTCACTGCCAAAACTGTCCCACGATGTTTATCAGATAGTTGGATATCCTTAATTCACATAGTGAGGGTAATTGTCGACTGTACACTAACATCAGTCTGCATGTCAAACAGCATATTGATTGTAATCCCTCCAGATACGATTAAAAAAAAATTGAGGGCACCACGTCCCTTTCATTTATACAACATTGACATGTGATGTTGATGCTGCAGCCCCAACATATTCACTCTGTCCTTTGCCAGTTTTAGACCATCATATATACTAATTATAAATTAAGTGTTTCACAGGTGGCAGAGCATCTGTGTTTGGTTTAACTGTGAGTGGTAACTTGGTGTTTCTTTAATTTTTCACAGCATCAGCATGGTTTGTTGCCAAAAATCTGTATGTGTTTGAATGTGGGTGTGCTGTGGTATCTGCCAAAAATGTGGCTTTGCACAGTAATTAACTAATGCGATGTTGTTGCCATACTGTGTACACCAGCAGGAATAAACTTTCTTGATCTAACTTTTCTTTTAAATGATAGGTTTAAAGTGTGTTCTCCAAGAGAAAAGACTCGCCGTGTTCTTCCCTGGGTCACCGGAAAACACCCTTTTTTTCTGTGCATTCTATATACAATACATACAATGTATATTGATTGGAAAAAGGCATATCTCTATGAAAGTGAAGGTTAATAAATCTTTTGGATTAGGGTTATTCAGTTGGCACAAGGAAATTGATTACATTTTTCTTTCTGTATCTTTTCAGAGTTCTTCACATCATCTTCACTTTAATTCATACCCATTATGGAAAGCAATCATCTGCCCAAAAAGTGAAAACTGCTCATTCTGATTTTTAATTTTAGGGTTAAATGAAAAGCAAATGTGGGAGAATGATATTTATGAAAATAAAATATTTTCATCAAACTGCTAAAAGCATGACAAACCTGAGACCGGTTGGCATTTGTCTATTAATTTGCCCCGACGACATCTCATCTAAAAAAAATCAACATTAGCCAGTGGATTAGACTCTTAAGCCACCATGATCGACCCACTTGGCAGCAGCTGGAGAGCAATATCAATCTTGTCCAGAGAGACACACACAGAGTGAGGAAGATAGCACACTGTCTGTACTTACTATTCAAGTCATTTGCAAACACGCTAAACTGTTTAGTTCTATTTTCTGATCTTTAGATGGTACAATACCCCCTTTCCGTACAAAGCTGCTTTCACTGCTATGTTTAAGCCAAAAGAGGGGAAGAATGTGAGATGACAGCTAATTAAATCATATATTAAGATTCATGAAGTGTCAGTTTGTGGTCACAGACCGGTGGCTCTTAGGGGTCTAATGGTGTAGTCCCCGGGAGAAAGGGGCGGAAGAGCCAGTGTTAATTATGTTACCAATGACCTTCAGTGATTTAGAAATTTTACTGCAAACCTGAAAAAGTAAAAAAACAAAAAAAAGCAGACTGAATTACTGAATGAAGTAGTCTAAATTGATTTTGACTTCTTAGTCTAAAAGGTAATCGTAGTTCGTTTCCTCACCGGACAATGTATCTGCATTCACGAAACATAAACTATTTTACTATCGAGATTCAAACAAAGAGGAGTTAGTAAAAATGTATTAGCAACTATGCTAAAGAATATTTTACAATGAGCAAATGAATTAGTGATAGGCGAGTGTCTAAGTTGGTGTTCATCTCCCATCACCAAACCCTCAAAGCAGGAACAGGTTGAGTCTTTGTATGTGGATGAGCTGTGGTTTTACACAAAAAGTGTGCTGAATTCTATTAGATAATCACTTAAGATTCAGGATACAAGACAGTCATGAGTAGGCAGAGAGATAGACACGTGTTTTGCATTTGGAGAAGGGTTTTACTTGCTTCACTGATTCTCTTTGCTATGGTGTTGATTTACCATCAGGCTTGTTACAGGTGCAACCCAGAGACAACCCACACAGAACATGCAAACTCCACACAGAAAGGTCCTGGTTCCCCCAGGACTCGAACCCAGGACCCTCTTGCTGTGAGGCGATGGTGCTAACCAACACACCACTGTGGAGCATCATGTAGGGAATAATTAGCCAATGGCAGCCATTTACTGTTGTGTAGCTGTATGTAGCAAAAGTATTAGCAAGGAAGACTTCCTCTTTTAAATAGAAATGATTACTTTCCTTAATCCTCAAATGATTAAAACGTTCAATTAAAAGTGAGGGCAATGCAACCCAGTGCTAAATATTGCTTATGCCCGTGAACAGCTTTTTAAAAGTTTGACCACATCATTTTCAGGTCATATTGAAGTCTTGACTTTAACTGGACCACTGGAGGTCTTGATTATCTCCTTTTTCAGCATTTCTGTAGTAGAATTGCTGCTGTGTTTGGGATCATTGTACTGTTGCGTGACCCAATTTCAGACAATGTTACCCATCAGACAGATGGCTTCACATTCAACTGCAGAAAAACAAACCTTTAACTTTAGCACCTCATAGATCATTTAGGTTTTTGGTAATAAATTGATGGAGAAGTTATACAGAACTTGACAGGAGACGATAAATCTGTTGCTCCTCATGTTTATATCAGTTATGGATTTCCTTTAACAATTGCAAACCGATATTCTAGGGGAAATGACTTGTTTTTTTACACATGAAAAAACAGCTGTCAGATATTATGCATCTACTTGATTGAGGCTTGGAATGAGCATTAGAACAAAGTACATCAGTGGAGTTTTTGTTAAACTAAATACTAAACCAAAGAGGAAAAAATTGAATGAAAAGAGAAGTGGGCCTGCAGTTAACTTTAAAGATGTTCTTACGGACTCAAGTTTTGTCATCAAATGAGCACTCTTGTAAGTGCTACATTTACATATGTGTGTAATTGCAGTCTCAATTATGAAGTAAAGGAGATTTGGCACCCAATCAGTGGCCTAATCAGTGGCTTCAATGATCCATGAATTAATGTAACAAGTATAGGAGTAATAAAAAAAGAAGAAAATGAACAAAGAAAGACCTTGAGGAGAGCAAACCACCACAATACTGTGAACCCTTAAACAAAGATTATTCCCTTGAGTTAAAGCTGCTTGCATAAGAAGATAACCCAGAACAGCAATTCTAATTCCTGAATTAGACAAAAATAGAATAACATAAAGGAAATATATTTATTTCTGGAAACAATAAACACTCTCTGTGTCTACACTCAGTAGGGTTGGATTTCTGAAGAGCCAGTAAGGCTTGTATGGTTGTGTGTTGGTTGTCACTGTTGCCAAACGGCTTTAAGATTCCTGATTCAAGTCCTGCCTATCTGTTCTCCTTTTATGTGTATGGGTTATCTTCAGATACTGGTGTCTTTTCACCATCCAAAAAACATGCCTATTAGGCTAATAGCTGATTCTAAATTGACTCCCTATGAAAGAATTGTGTTTGCAAAGCCCTGTTTGTCACTTTCTCACCCTGTGATGGACTGGACCAACCCAGGCTTAACCCCTACTCTCAGTCAGGAAGGGATTAGCTCCAGCCTACAAACCTGAATTGGTTTTGGTGTATAAAGCTATTGCATGGATATAGAAATGTATTTTTTTCTCAATTGTGAGACACATACACAGTAAACTGTCATTTAATATAGATGTTGTCAACAGGTAATGAGGGTATATTTAGAAAAAAGGCTCAGATGGTTGTGAGACATGCAACTAAAAAAGGTGACACTTGGATAAGCCTCGGCTTCTTCCTCCAACCTTTATTTATCAAGCAGTCTGGTAGAGAATCAGCTGAGGAGACTGAACCAGAACAAAGCTGCAGTGGGTTGCAGGTGGTGTCAGTGTGCTAACTGCCATTTGTGAGAAGAACTGTTGCCATCAAGGTCAAGGTAAGCTAAAATGCTTCATTCTTACTTTCAACATCTGTGGAAAAAAAACACTGGTTTATTAGATTTGCCAATGAGTGCATTTTTTTGCATTTATGTTTTACACACTGTGACCCAGCATTTTTGTAGTTGGGGGTTCCAAATTGTTTCTACAAGCCCCCACTTTCTGATGGTAAATTTATGAAAATGTTGAAAAGACTTGATTTGGGCAAACTGAGTCGAAGATTGAGTTGTTAAACAAATGATTGACTGCCTGTGTCTTAAGTCATTTAAAGTGTTTTTTGAGCCCTGTCGGATTCAGCTCCGAAAGTCGGCATGAACAGATGCAGTCTCTGCAGGAAAATACACAGATGCAGGCAGCAGAGCAGCTGTACAACAGCAGGAACAGCTGGAAATAGCTCATACTTCATCTCTGCATAAACAGCAACAAGCTGCCCGCGCCCTGTTATCACCACTATTATTATTAGCGGGCGACGAAACAGTGCATTTCTACAAAATAATTTGATTTATTTCGGTATAATGAGAGAGGCCAACCTCGTTTTATAAAATGACCTTGACCTTCTCTAAGAGAAAAAGGAGGCTGGTGAGCTGAAGCTATGGGGGCCTCCGTCAGCCATACTAAGCATTGTTCTTATAACGTATATATCAATCACTGGGCCAAAAATTAAATGTCTTTTTCCTCAATTTGCACACAATTTTCTTCCTGCCACGTTGAAAGTTCTGTTTCAATCAATTCAGGAAGCTAAATCTTGTGTAAATTCAAATAACTTTAAAAACTGAAATGAATCTACTTAGACTGCCTGCTGCAAATGCTAAGACATTAGAATAAGCGTGACCCAAAAGCCCAATCCTTCTCAACACTTCTACACCTGTCAGAGAGCCCAAGTGTGACTCTTAAATCGGTGGAGACACTTTAGACTAAGCCCTCCCAACAAAACATCCAGTTTGAAAATTGCCCTCCTACAACAAGAGAGACTTTCAGAGGCTTGGCAGTGAAATACAAATATCCGGCACTGGCTTGTGAAGTTGTTTGGAGGACAAAACATCCGTGTCAAACTCACATGTCTTCACTGGACATGTTTGTCACTGCCTCAGAACAGTCTGAGGTGATTAGGGTACCACAACAGCTTCAATTCTAGTTCTGTTAAGAAATATGCAAAAGTGTTCAATCTCCTATTTGGTATTTAAAAGCTCTGATGAAAGAATAAATCCCTCTCGACAATTTTAAAAGATTGCTGTCAGCATGGGTTGAATGAATACAGTGAATCCTTTATAAAGACAATGCTATACAGCCTGATTAAACCTCTTCTGGTATTTCCCACAGACAGAAATGTTAAGACAAAAACCATTAAAACACAATTACCAGGAATGCAATAGAACAGATGAGAAACAATTTGCAAAGTTTTGATTGTGTTTGGTCTCTGCACTGTCATCTGAAATGTACTTTCAGAGACAAAAGGACTGAAGAGTTGTGACATTTAGGTAAAAAAAAATAAACAGGTGTTAATTGTCCAGCCCTGTGCGTTGCTTTGTATTGTCTTTTCTTAATTGAGCAGTCAAAGCACCTCATGTCACATCCACCCACACGCTTATGTAACACCACTGTGCAATGTACACAGATTTGTTTTCTCCAGATCACACGCATTTACAATCTGATGGACGCAACAGAGGCCTTCGCCATCCTGCAGTGACACTTTGACGTGGATTCAGGGGAGCCACGAATAAGCCACCGTTCTTGAGTTTCCCAAACAACTTCTGAGCTACACTCGTACCTTAGAAAGATAAAAAGTCCTATGCCACAACCAACGAATGTGTTAACAATTAATAATTTCCCGATTGGCCACGCGTAGTACTACACAAGTTATTCTCTCATAACCTGCCTTAAGCCACACACTACTACTAGCTAACACTTTGAACCACAGAATGAGGTATGAGATTTTGCATTAGACCTTGTTTGCTAAAACATGCATGTGTGCTTTTAAATATTCTTATGAATTATTCATTGCTTGCAGACACGTTGCTATTTTTAAGAAGTATGCCAAAGTTGAGTTCCATGTAGCTAAGATGAGTAAAATATTCACTCCTTAAGGTCTAAAGATAAATCATTACTGCAAAGAAAGTATTTCCCTTTAATGATGAAAGGTTATGATATTCCCCATTTTACATGTGATGATTATGGGTTTGTTAATATTCTGAGGAAATAAAGAAATTGAATATTTCTGTGAGGTTTTAACAGAGTTTAATATTTCCTCCATCTTCCACCTGAATGGTCTCAGGCCTTGCAATGAAATACACCCGTTGGATGTTTCCCAAGATAACTTGATAGACAGCGCAGGCCTGCCAGGGACAGTTAAAATGGGACGGGAACGTTAAGTATTGCATAAGGATGAACAGACTTTTCCTGCATCTGTGTGTTTTTCTTTATTCAAATTAAACAACTATGGGAAGAAAAGAAAACAGAGTTGTTATTCAATCTGAGCAATCATTCAATGCCCAGAAAGAAATCTCATCTGCAGTGCTGCTAAGAGCAATGTGAAGATTACTAAAAGTAAGAATGAAAATTATGACAATGCCTAGACTGAATATGTCTGGAATAAGTCATTTTATGGAAACTAAAAAAGTTGTTACTTACAATGCTGTGAGCAGTGAGCATGAAGTACTGCAGAGGCTCTGCGCCATTTGGCTGAGGGGGAAATATGCTTAACTAATTAAGGGCTGAAATTATTTTTTGCACACGTTTGTGACTGGACAAAACACCCAGTTTGAACAATAAGTCCAACAAAGACTATGTTCCAGTTCTGCTTTGTATTGTGCTGGTGTACATAGAACTGCTTCCATCATAGCGAATGTATCCATGTCAAAACAGAAACTGCTTAAAAATTATTTATTTTATCAAAAGCAACTTGACAAATCACTGAAAGGTGTTATTCTTTTAAAGTACTGGGCCATTTTTCTGTCATTCAGAGGGCTTAAGGTTGATTATCAAAGCCAAAACAATTTGAAACACAATACTGAACAATACTGAAGACTAGATGAAAACATAACCATTCTATCTCCTCCTGTCCTTTACCTCCTGCTGTTATTGTGCCTCCAAGCTTGGAAATTGCACCTCTGAGGGCAACTTCTATCCTCTGTTTTGTTGATAGCCCAAAAATAATTCCAAAGAGTTCAGTAGGGGTGGCATCCCAGGGTTCCTCTCCTTACAATACCTTCCACTAACTTCTTATCCCTGCTTGGATCCACCCGTCTACAGCCACTGGGGAGTAGGAACTGTCTAAGACTTCAATGAAGCTTCTGCAACTGTGTATTGAGTGAATATCTGTGATCCATTCTCAGTATTACTGGTTTCAAAACACAAGCTTGGTGGAGCAGAAATGGACCTAATCCTGGTACACCTAAACTGGAAAACAGAGCTTTAGTTAATATACAAATTTACATTTTTCAAATGATATTTTCAGGAAAGGTCAATGAGGTGTTGAGATTTTAAGTATTTTTTCTTGTCTTCTTTCCTCTTATCAAAGTCATCGCATGACAGTTGAGAAATAGTTAATAAATTAGTTATTACAGACAGCTCAGCGACTTGCTATGTCTGCCACAATTAGATGGCTTTAATTCAAAAAGGGATTTTGGTCTCAGAAATGAGCTGCACTTTTTAATATTTTAAGAAATGAGAGTGCATCATGTCTAAATGTGCGGCCTCTCGCCCAGTAGTCAATGGGCGAGAGGCAGGGTACACCCTGGACGGTCCGCCAGTCCATCGCATGACCACACAGAGACACACAAAAAACCAACAACCATGCACACTCACACTCACTCCTAAGTACAATTTGGAATGTCCAGTCAACCTAACATGCAGGTTTTTAGACTGTGGGAGGAAGGCGGAGAACCCGGAGAGAACCCACGCAGACACAGGGAGAACATGCAAACTCCACACAGAAAGGTTCCATGACTGATACAAAAAAAAACATTTCAAAATGAGACAGTGACTTGTCTGTTTCTCTCCAGCTGTTAAAGTGGTAGCCAGGGGCCCTTTTTGCTACACATCAATAGCCCTAGATGACAAAAACTAGTTTGTACCAGCTACTGTATTAGTGTTAGTAATTGTGGAAAACTTTATTGACTTTTTCTGTGTTTTTTTCAGTCAGTAACTCACAAACCTTTCGTAGCTCAAATCTTATTATGAGATAATGCCACCCAGAAATGCTTGTCACAGTGTGTAAACTTCTCTGCCTATTATCTGCAGTGACATTATCAGCAGGGAGCATAAATGGGGCATGTTCAGAGTATTATCAGATGTTGTTTTGTATGTCTTTTACATAATTATGGAACGTGAACCGCTCTCTTATCGCAACACTCCTTACACAAATGAATTTAATGAACGCTATCTCTCTATGTCTTGCTCTTTCCATAGCAATATGGCTTTGATTGAACAAACATATCTGATTTGCTCCCAATAAAATTAGCTAAATGCAGTTTTTCCAACTTTTTTAGATGATACTGTTTTTTGATGATTGATTACTTAATTATTTCACAGTTAACAAAAGAAACCTTAATTGGAAAGAGACAAATCCAATGCTGTATTGATCAGGGTCCCCGGACAGCAGCAGTATTGAAACTGTTATCACTGCATACATGTTGTTGGCAAGTTGACCTGGCAACCAAGGAGTTTAAACCTTGCACTTTTTTACGAGACTGGGATTTCTCACTGGGCGGCATGGTGGTGTGGTGGTTAGCACCATCGCCTCACAGCAAGAAGGTTCGAGTCCCGGGTGACCCAGGTCCTTTCTGTGTGGAGTTTTCATGCTCTATCTGTGTCTGCATGGGTTCTGTCCGGGTTCTCCGGCTTCCTCCTACAGTCCAAAAACCTGCATGTGGACCGTTGATAGACTGGCGGAGTCCAGGGTGTACCCCGCCTCTCACCCATTGACTGGGATAGGCTCTAGTTATCCCCATTAGGGAATAAGCTGTAACGATAATGGATGGATGGATTTCTCACTTCAGGTAACAAACTGAGCTGACAACATTATCTGTTCTCTGTGGAAAACAAAGCATCTTGATAGATTAACTGAATTCTGCCTTGGCTCTGTGCGCTTTGTTAAACTTTTTAAAAATAAATTTCTTTTTAGACAGGCCCCTATATTCCCTCTGCTTCGGGGTTAGTGATGACTCTGAATATAAAATGTTCCTTTGAGAAGTAACATGTTAACTAAGCCATAGACATTCAACACTAAAGCGCCTTCTTTTTCAGGCAGAAAAAGAATGTCAAACTTGCCTCACCTGAATAAGGCCAACAGCAAATTCTGATTAAGAACACTCAAAGGATACATCTTGAGACACAGTGACAACAGCGATGATGTCAAGTAAACAAAAGACAGTACAATACTGAAAAAAACATAAAAATGGTTCAGTCAACATATTGTTAGAAGACTAAGACCAAGGATGATTTATGGGGCCAGACATCAAGACTTCAGGACAGTCTAAATCTGAAATGCTTTGGAGGTGTGTAGCATTCTCACTGGATTCAGGGTTGTTGTTATTAGCACAAATAAATCCGCTCAAACTGTAAGTAGCTCTATGATTGCAAAACATTTATTTAACAATATTCGAAACAATATTATTAACGCACGTGAAAAAATGACAGTTAAATATTGACAGTTAAATATTCCTACATGTTCTGAGATGTGAATCCAATATAAACAAAAACTATTTTGGTTTATCAATAGTGGTTTATAGCACAAATATTTAAAGCTAAAATATATTCTATAAGATATAAATGTTCTTTCGGTCAAACATCAGAAGCTACAAAGACAAGCCATTAAAGAGGACTAGTAATTCAATTCACATTCCGCAGGATAAGAGAGAAAACACAAGGATGTGTTGCTTTCATTGTGTGAGGTTCCAAATAAAGCAAAAAGATGTCTGAGTCCCAAAAATAAGTTTTATAAATCGCTCCACTGTCCTGCTTGATTCCACCTAATCTCTTGATCAACAAACCGTGCTTGGCAGCTCTATATTTTCCTACCTTTAATTGCCCATTGTCTCTAATTTGAGCATTTCTGAGGTTGATAAAAGATGTCCTGTTTTCCTTAACTGTCCAAAATTCAGAATTCCTGACAGGCAGAGCGATCTCCTGTGCAGGGCTAAATCTATGTTTATATATTTTCCATTCAAGTGTGCGTCATTTGTTCACCCAATTCTTTTCCCTCAGGGTTGTGTTGGAGACAGGAGTCCTCCTGTGGTTTTAAGCAACAGATTTGGTACATGATCAGTTCATCACAAAATCAAGACAAAGGAATCATTCACAAACAGACATTCATGAGTCTTGACAACTTTATATGTCTGTTTATTTTTCATAAACTGCACCCACTTCAACAAACCATTGCACATAAGCTATGACAATAAGTTATGACTTTTTTGCATTTGTATTGTATATGCGAGCTCTGAACAGTCATTTTAATTTATTATTGAACAGCTTTATTATAGTAATAATAGTAACAATTCTGCATAGTCAAGCTCTTAACACTTAAAGACCAACAAAATAATGTAAAAAGTACCTTCTGTTAATATAGATTTAAATATGCCTTCTCTAGATTCAGCAGTTTGCAGTGCATGCCCTTTTTCGAAAACATGAAATGTGTTGAAGACATCAACCAGACATCCCACACAAAAACATTACTTTACATACAATAACTGTGTGGATGTGTGAATGACACTAATTAATGATTTTCCCCGACACTAGGCTGAAATAAGTGTCATAACAATCCCAGCCTGTCAGTTTCAAATTGGCATTTTTACTTTGCTGTATGATTGCCTCATGGTATTAAATGCATCTATTTATCTCTTACTCGTCATGCAATTTATGTAGGGGATTTGATGGCAATGATTTTGGTGCCTGTCAATATAATACAGCCAAAAAATACTTCCAACTTCAGTTGGAATGTATTTCATACATATGTATTTCATATATGTGGATATATGTTCATATACAGAAGACAAACTGAATGTCAGTGAGCAGAGATTAAAACAGAAAACAAAACAAAGCGTTGTTATTTAAAAGATGTTTTCAGCATATTTTTGCGGGAACTTTAGGCTTCACAAAGAATTAAATGTTCCTCTCCTCTTATTATCTGACAGCAGCTTACTGAGCCAGAGCAGGAGATTATGGGATTTCTGTGTGCAATGGCATGTCCCTTTCAGCCATATCTAGAAATTTCCTGCTGTTGACATTGTTGATGTTCGTTTTCATCCAGTGGCTGTCATTTAATATTGCTGAAATGTTTAATGTACCACTGTTTTGCTTCCAAAGATCTGGGATTAAGAGGCTATTCAAGCACGTAGTCGGTACAGAACTTTTGTCGACAGTCTGCATCACGTCCCAGTGTTCTCACATCCGTGTGGCTTCCTCTCCAGTGAGAGAATAAGCTGTATAGAAAATGGATGGATGGTTAAAGAAATGGACACCCACTAAAATAATCCTTCTCAGTCATCACCCACTAATAGTGTGTGATGGTTTATTTTGCTGGCGTGACATCACTTTCGATGCGTCATTCTACTGTTTTGGACTCTTTTTATTCATTTGCTCCATAGAACAATGCTGTCACTGCTGATCACTGCTTTCCTGTAATACCTTAATAAAAAAGCAATAATAGCTTTGAGTATTCAGAATAAGAATCTTTATTGTCAGGATCTTTATTTTCATAAATTTCAATTAAATTAAAGCTGCAGTTTTTCCAATGGAAAGACGTAAATAAAGGATAGTTAAATGTAATCATGTAAGAAAATAGAACATGAATATGAAGGTATTTTTAAGAAACCTAAAGAAACCCAAACCTTTTGTACCTTACTATGAAAACAGCCACACAGTGACATATTTAGCATATGTCTGTAAATGTGTAAAGTTTACATATTTAAAATGTACATATATAGTTATGTTTGCATTCTAAACATAAACCCAGGATGTGATGGATGGATGGATGAAAAATTGATTAATGAGATTCCAATTGATAAACAGTTGAAGTAAACATGTGAAGGCTGATGGGTAGAATTTCTGATTCTGTTGTGATTCTTTTCATGGATATAAAGAGCTTACCCAATGGTTGACACTTAGACCTTGAGTGTCTTGGGTGAGGTTGGAGAACCATGTGCAGACATAGTACGCCAGGATGTTCTCTATAGTGCACATTACAACTAGATTCCTATCTCTTTTGGGACTCTCTTACCAGCTGAGCAGTGGGAGACACTTGGTCTGGTCCTTGCTGATGCTGAATCCAAGGAAGCAAACATCTGAGTCCCTCTCCAAGACCCTCTAGATATTCCTCCTTTGTCTTTGTAGTGTAGAGGAGTAGATTGGAGATTTTGACACCACACTGACATGCACTCAGCCCGGCCCCTATTGGCAGACTCTTGCCCCAGAGATGAGTCTAACCAATGTGCTGTCTGTAAAATTAATTGTGATGTTATTGTGGTGTACAGAGGTGGAATTGTGAGTGTGGAGTGGGTAGAGGGGGGGGGGGCTCAGCATGCAGCTGTGTTGTGAACATTTGGTGAGGCTGATGTTATGGAGAAGTGGGAGCCTACTCTAACCGTCTGGGTGCATTGGGACAGGTAATCTTTAATCCAAAAGGAGTATGGACATCTTATGTCTAGTAGTTTGGTCATCATTTTACAGTGGAGGATGATATTAAAGCCAGCGGAGAAAACAGAGCTAGTTTGGCAGGAATGAATGACAGGATGAACCTCAGTGGGTTATTTTTAATGTTGGTGTAGATTCCGAGTCATCCAGGTCATGTTGATCCTGTCTTATAACAGCTCTTCAAAAGAAAGCAATAGCTGTGGTAAAATAGGTGGATGCGCTACCAGGCGACTTAAATTTCATTTGCAAAAATCTGGTGGGACAGGTGTTTCCATGACAACAGGTTGTCTTGCGTGAAGCAGGTAAAGCTTACAAACAAATTATAACATGCTGAAAACTAAGTTTGTAGCATGTATGTCAGCAGAAGAACATAACTGCTTTCCTTGAAAAGGCAGATATGACTAAACACAAATACCCCAATCATAGTACCTGGATAATCAGTCAGAATTGTACTGGAATTTAGATAGCATACCAGTGTTGCCACCATAATGTATAAGTATGCTTGTTGAGTGATGTATGAAATTCTACCAATATTAACTATGTACTCTCCATGTGTCTTTAATAATGATCAATTATAATTACCATGACTTTGGAGGCAATGTCCTACATTTTGTATGAATTCAAGTAAGAATTCAAGTTTCTACACAATTGGGGTTAGTAGATTTTTCTGTTGATCACTTTCAAACATTCCATCCAAGTCATTGGACGAGCTAGTCTGTGTCACACTATGTCAAGGACACAGGAGGTTCATAACAAAAGTGTAGTGTGTAGCTGCAGGGATAATAGCTATCAAGCCTTCTTTGACCGTTTTTTTTTTAAAAAGATTATTGACACACATCTGACCTACCCAAGGAGGATGTTTCACCTCTACCTTTAGAATGACCACTGTATTACATACGGGGATGGTCATTGAAAGTGCAAATGTGAGAGGCTGGAAAACTGCAGAATACAGCAAACTATGTGTGCCTCTCACATGACCATCTACAACTAGCTCAGCAGCTGATCACTGGTGCTGGTCTCAACAGCTCCTATATGGGTCTTTGGTGACTGCCACCTCAACTTCTTGTCTTTTAGCTAATTATAACATTACTTCAAAAAGGTTTACAGTACAAATTCTGGAGTATTTGTGTCCAATATTTATCTATAAGCATCTTTCAACTTTTGTCCATCCTCCTATCTTCCATCTGGATTCATATGTGTCCAGGTTGTCCTATTGTTGAATGGTAACAACAAAGATTATGAACACTTTAGCAGTGTGACTTTTATGTACATTTATGTATAAAACAATTGGTTTTACATGGTATCCAGCTCGCAGTACAGCAAGTCAACTTGGTCATCATCTGGGTCATGCATCACTGGTCCTTAGAGCATGGAAAATGTGACTGGACTTCCTCTCATCTTAGGTTACATCATTTCTAAACTCTGAGTTTTGAGTCACGACTTATAAACAGAGGAGGTTAATCTTAATCGCTGAACAATCGGAAAGCTGTTGGAGACACTTTCAGCTGTAGACGGTCAAACTTTCCAAAAGGATGAGTTTTGGTCACAGGGTCCAAAGTGTGAATGGCTGTGAAACAGCCGGGTACAGAGGGGTAAGGCTGCATTGTAAGTGGTGATAAGGGGATACCCGAGATCCCCTCTCAGGTCAAAGTTCATTTTTAATCCCAGTGTAACATTAATGGCTTCCATTAATACTCTCTCAAACAAGCTGACTTTTCTTCCCAGAATGTGTCTGTCCTCAAAAAATGTGTCCCTTCTCCTTAAGATGGAGGGAAACTGCTGAATCTTGAGCTGAAGTTCTGCCTCTCCTATACTACGCCTGCACTCGTGGACCTGTTGTTCAGTGTCTCCTATAGATTCATCCTCACACACTTCACTGCACCGTACTGCACATACAACACTGCTCTGTTTTCGTTTCAGTGTTTTGTCCTTGGGCTGAATCACTCTCTGTCTGAGGGTGTTTCTAGGTTTGAAGTTCACAGGAATGTCATGTTCGATTGCATCACTACTGTTCACTCTCCCCTCTTCCATATTCTATGCATCTAGAAATGTACAGATTAGCCCATCTAATGTTTTAATGGCAGAGGATGTCACTACATGGATATGCACGCAGTTTAATTGAATGTACATAAATTACTTGTGAAAGGGTTCGCTGCACACCCAATATAATCAATCAATCAATCAATCAATCAATCAGAAGTCACACCACATCAGGAATAATGCATACTTGTTATCTTGGAGTAGTTCCTATGTGATAAAATACAGGCACCAACTAAAAGTGGCCAGTTACAAGTTATTTGACTATAGAGAGCTGACAACCTTCCTGAAGAGGGTATCTGGGAATTGACCATATTTGTCCATAGGATGCAGTTGGTCTATCTTCATCCATTGGTCTTTGGATAAAGAGATTTCTGTTGTGAGGCATCAAGATCACAATTTAACATCTGTCCTTTCGACATCGTATGCAATGCATGAGCCCTGCCGTTAGATCCAACGGATGACTTTCATTGCTATGTGTGGTTCTTTTGTACAAGCAACACTTGTACAGTGAGTGTTGCCACACAATTAAGAGGATGTGATTCTTTAAATGGCAAAGAACAGCAATTAACCTACATGCCATTCAAAACCTTTACCAATGTTAAACAACAAGTACAAGGATACCCACTTGTAAATGTCACAGTATTTCCAGAGGCACTGTATTTGCAGAATCAACATTCTGCAATGAAGCAGTCAGGGACATTTGAAAAAAGCACAGCTAAAATGGAGAGGGAGTAAAGGAACATTGATTATTGTCGAAACACATCTGTGTTTTCATCATTTCTAAACAGAGAACCACATTTCTACCGCAAATAAATATACTGAGCTAAGCTGGGATCAAATAAAATCCTGCACAGCTTGCTGTGAATTAATAAGCTATAAACTTATAAACTATTCTTTTAAAACCATAGGTCTTAATTTCAGCAAAAGGTGTTTCAAACAGTATCACTCCATTTCAAGCATTACTGTCTCCCAGTGTCTTCCCATGGCTTTAGCACAGTATCAGCACTTCATTTCAGTCTATCTCAACCATAATTGACTCTTTTTTGTTCGAATTTAGCTCACTGTTCTTTTTTTCATTAATAAAGGCTCTCCTGTTATATATTTTTCTGAAGAGATTCTTAATCTTAAAGTTTTGTGAATACTATCCTATTCTTTTCTTCTCCCTTGATAACAGCTGAAAAAGACTCCAGCCATCCTCATAGCCATAAGTTAAATGTAGCAGCTCGAATATTTAATCATCAGTTTATCTCTCATAACTGCCACCTGTGAGATACTGAAATTGTTGGCTGGATATAAAACACTTTGGGGGGTTATTTTACATGGAGCCAGCTGTTTAAAGTCAAACCAGGTGTTTATACTATTACAGACAAATCCGATGGAGCTTTTGAACCAGCCTGAACCAGCGTACCAACAAAACCTGACTTTGTACATTACTAGAATATCTAGAATACCTTGTTTGATCATTTCAATAATTGATTGGATGTTTTATTTTTTTCTTATCATTATAATAATTAAGTTTAATCATGCTGACTTGTAACAAGACTGCATCTCTCTTAATGCTGGAAAAGATGTGGATAATTTTAGCTCTTCTTTTTCATTATGAGCAGTGCTAATTAAGATAAGATTATCTTACTTTAATTAAGGTAAAATAATGGAGCTGGACAAGATAAGGAGGCTGGAGCCTATTTCAGTTGACATGATATTTACATTGGATGTTGTAGTAATAATTTGCTTCAGTGCCTGATTAAATAAAAAATTAGTTTTTTATTCAATATCAATGGTCATGATAATTACAACTTGAATATCAGAAATCACGATAGGCTGCTTCAAATCACCTGTTACCCAATGTAGCTCAAAAGGTGAATTTCTAAGTTAATATATTTACAAACTGATACATTTTATTGAATAATTTTATAAATTGATTAGATTTTATATTATACCACATGTCCTATTTTGTTTTTGTAAAATGTGTGATGAGTATTGCCACTACATCCCATCTGTACCCTCAAATGATCATTTCAGACCTACCAGTAAGATACTGAGCTCACACACCTTGCAGTCCAATACTATGAAATGTCATCTTTGATCCAGTGCCACTCTTACGTCTGTGTCGTTTGGAAGTACAGTGTCACATTATTTCATCACTGTCGATGCCAGTGTCACCTTTCAGAAAAGCTGATGCTGAGTTGGGTGTTTGTCTCCCGTCAGGGATGCCCTTCACTGAAACAGTATAAACCCAAGGAAGAACATGGAACTCAGGTGAAAAGCGTTCACTCAGCACATGCAGAAAAGGCCTCCTCTTTGTTCATATGCCCTTCAGATTACCTACTGACAGGTACATACGTTTCCAGTGGAGAAACAAGCTTAACTTGACGCCTATGATCAGAGAGTAAAAGATTTAAACTGTACCTGCAGTATGTATTCCAGACCTTGGTGGAATGCATAATTTAGTGAGGAGACGAATAAAGATGACTGGATTTAGGGTTCTGTTTGGGATTGGATTAGGAGCTAAACCCCACTGTGTATGACAGCATAATAAGCCCCAATGATTTTGAAAACCGTAATCACCCTTTCACTGTTTCAGCGCAT